CACGTTATGCGGTGTTTTGCAGATTCTACATTATTCTTTAGCGTTGCATAGTATTCCATTGTGTGAATGTACCAAAGTTTGGTTCATTCCTCAGTTGTTGGACATCTAGGTTGTTTCCAAGTTTTGGCTATTGTAAATAGTGAAAATTCACCCTTTTTAAGTGTATGGGTCAATAAATGGGTTTTCACAAATGCAAAACAATTATAGCCATGTAATTACAATCAAGATATGAAAGATTTTCATCATCCTAAACACTTCCCATCTACCCTTCCCTTGGTGTTTTTATTCAACTGAAACCAAAGTTCTTTCCCCCTTAAGGAAGGTTGGGCAATCTATTTCCGTAGTGATACTGCCTCGGAAACCCAAGGAGGGGTCACTATGAGTCGGGTCCGACTCGACGCACATAACAACAACAACAACAGAGAGATAAAAAAATAAAAAGTAGTAGTGCTGGTTTCTCATGCAAGGCTGAGAATACCAGCAACATTCTTACTCTTATTATTATTATTATTTTACTCTTCCTCACATTATAAATGGCTACTGTGTTTTATTTCTAAATGTCACTTGGGTTTTATTTGCTCTACTGCATTTTCTTTGTCACAGATATTCTACTTCCAATTTCAGTTCCTTAAATGATTATTTTTTCTTCTTTGCAGACTGATACAAGCCCTGCTTCTCTTGTTTTTAATATCATCTTAGTATTGCCATTGAGGTTGTTACCTCCTATTCATTCTGGATCATTTAAACACAGATTCAGTAATGTTTCTGTCCTGCTTAAAACCCATTGTGATCTGAGTAATTTTATTCTCTCTACTCTTTGGGGATACTTCAAAAATTCTATAATAAAAAGCAAAACGTGGAACTAAGGGGAGAAAAAGTACCCATTACCTTCAGTGACTCCCATTGCTGTTAACAAAAACCTCACATGGCCTGGTCTGGTATCTGCTGACTTCTCAGTCCTCATGTTTACTAAACCAAAAAAAAAAACCAAACTCACTGCCGTCAAGTTGAGTTTCCAAGGTGGTATCACTACGGGAGTCGATTGTCCAATCTTCCTTCCATGGAATAGCTGATGGGTATGAAGCGCCAGCCTTCTGATTAGCAGTCAAATGCTTTAGGCGCTATACCACCAGAGCTCCCATCTACTAGGGTGATCAAATTGTTGAGACTTTTAACACTGAAAGTACCCTCTCTTGGGAAACCCCTTAGTCCCAGGCAAATTGGGACTATTACCCTGTGTCTTCCCTGCTCACACTGTGTATTGCCATCATGCTAACTATATACCATTTTTCATTTGCTCCTTGTTTGTCTCTACTGAGCCTCTCTTTCCTTGTTTTCCTCTGTCTAGAACACTTTATCTTCACTCTCCTTTGACAATTCCTATTTATCCTTCAGTATAAATCTTAGGTATCACTTCCTCTATCCTTCTTTAAGTCCCCCAAGTCTGAGTTAGTTTCTCTATCTATGCTCCTAGAGCCCCAAGATTTTTTCCTATCTTAGAACTGATCACATTGTTTTATAGTTAAGGGTTTGAAGACTAAAAGGTAGAGACTTGATTTTGTTTCCTGAACCTGCTACAGTTCCTGGCCTAGAGTAGACAATAAAAGTGTATTTGTTGAATAAATGATTTTATATCTAAAGCTGTCCCTTACCTACTAGCGACTTCTGTGGTTAATCTCTGAGTCGGTTTAAAGATCACCTTATTCTGGAAGCCTTCTGAGCAAAGTAGCCGAAATAGAAGGACCTACCTTTTCTGAATACTCTTGCAGAAATGGATTTATGAAGGGAAAAAAGGGCTTTATGCCATATAACCAATGCTGTGTAACCAGACACAGTGGTTGCAACAATGGGCTCAAGCATAACAATGACTGTGAGGATGACACAGGACCAGGCAGTGTTTCATAACTGACTTGATGGCACCTAACAACAACCAATGGTTAATATATATTTTAAATACAAAAAGCGAATATAATGACAGTATATTCTTGAAAATATTCCTTACCCTCTAGATCTGCTGAAACCCAGAGGGATTGAGTTATGTTTCTAAGATTAGGCAGCTAGTTAGTGACAAAATTGGCACTGTGTCTACATTTCTTTATTTTTAAAGGGTTATGTCTCTTTCATTCCTTTATTATTAGCCGCAGAACCTTAATTGACTTATCTTTTCTACTCTCCATGTGACAAACCATTTTTTCAAATGTCTAACTATATGCTTTAAGATGATTTGTGTGCTTACTTGCTTGCTAGCTTATGTGTGTATGTGCCTGTATATCACATGATAAAATTCAAGCAATATAAAATAAGTGCCTTAGCACCACAGTCTTCCCCATCCCTTCCCCAAAGGTCCACCCACTACCATCAAGTTGATTCTGACTCATAGCGACTCTATAGGAAAGAGTAGAGCTGCCCTATAGGGTTTCCAA